TAGTTAGCAGAGGTGAATTTACCAACTAGCAGAGCCTGGCCTTGAAATGGTGATTGGGGGTCCTCATGCTTTACCATCCTGAGTGGATTACAGGCGTGCACCTCCTGGCCCCGTTTAGCTTCACCTTTGAAGTGTGCCACTGTTTTATGTTGGGCTTTGCATCCTTTTTCCTGAGTGTAAAATTTTTCTTCCACAGAGCTAGGGATGTAGCCCAGTGCTAAGGGGTTTACAGGTGGCCCCAACATCCTGTCAGAATTCTGTACAACTTGTATAAGACACACAGCAGATAATTCCACTCTGGGACATGACATTTAAGAATTGGATATCCTGTTATAATGGGGTTGTACTGAGTGGTAACTTGTTTCTCTCTGTGTTGGTGGCTGTATATGTTTCTATTGTGTCCTGTTCTGCCGACACTGTCATTCCCAATGCTGTTAGGCTGTCACACAGTATATGAATTCCTATCGCTGGCCACACCAGAAGCTGAAGTAAAAGTTTCCAAGAACATACTCATTTAGCTTCCCTGGGCATTTTAAAAAAAATCATTTATTTATTGCACAGGGCATCCCTATGCAACTTGGACTCACAGTGATCCTCCTGTCGCAGCCTCCCTAGTGCTGGGATTATAGGCGTGTTCACCATGCCTGGTTTTGGTGGCCAGCACAGCATGTGGTACTGGGGATTGAACCTGCGTCCTCGGGGTTGCTAGGCGCACGCTTAAGACTGCTGAGCTATCTCCCTGGCCCTTCCCTTGTTATGTGTGACTACAGAATTCCTCTCCATTGATATTTTTCCACGTTGAATCACAGTTGAAGTATTTTATTTTATTTATTTGTTTTTTTTGTGACTCGCTCAGTCCACCCTGGGGGCGGGCGGATACTGCCCAAGCTTGCCTAAGCAGACATTTTGGACTGCTGGGGTATGTCGCCAGTCCTGACGTATTTTAAATGGGGGCAGAAATTATCTATAACCTGGATGCTTCTCTTTGACAAATTTGTATTTTATTTTATTTTATTTATTTTTTAGAAATTTATTTTATTTATGTATGTATATGTGTGTGTGTGTGTGTGTGTGTGTGCGCATGCGCGTATGTGGCCAGCTCAGCCCACCAGGGGGCGGGGCTGGCTGGCATGTGGTGCTGGGGGATCGAACCGCGGTCCCTGTGCTTTGCTAAGCTTGTTCTAAGTAGGTGCTTTAGACCACTGAGCCATCTCACCAGCCCCACAAATTTGTATTTTAAACAGTAGTGATGAATATGTGTGTGTGTGTGTGTGTGTGTGTGTATATATATATATATATATATATTTTTTTTAATAAAAACAGGAACAACAAAATGCTTAGCAGTTATTAAAGCAGAATAGAAAGGTGTGGCCGGGGAGATAGTTCGGTAGAATAAGTGCTTCCCTGGCAAGAGCAAGGTCCTGAGTTCAATCCCCAGTACTGGAAAAAAAAAAAAAAAAAGTGTAAAATAGGCCTGGTGTGGTGAATCCCAGCACTTGGGAGGCTGAGGCAGGAGGATTGTTTTGAGGTGGAGGCCAGTCTAGGTTACAAGAGTGAGGTAAAGGCCAGCTTGACCTCCTTACATAACAGGAAAAAAACAGAGAGAACAGATATTAGCCTTTTTGCTTTTGCAGTATAGACACTGAATTTTTTCCCAAAGCTTGGCACTGTTGACCTTTTATGGAATGCAGTGCTAGATGAGAAGTGAGTTCTGTGTACTGTCACTGGGAGGCGGAGTACCACTCTGTGAAACATCGGATGTAGCTGCGTTGTGTGCACCCTTGACTGTACCTTTGTCTCTGTCCATTTCCTGCTGGACCATACTCACCTGCTTCATTCTTTTCTGGGATGGAGCGCTATTCACCCCATAATTGACTTAATTGATCTCTGAGTAATGGCAGCGGAAGCCCTCTCTTGCTCTTGCTGTAATAGACTGTAGTGCAGCTTCCGTGGTCAGAATTGAGTCTGATGGGGCGGCAGACGGGGATCTCTGGGCTCTGTGTCTTATATGCTTTTAATTTTGTCACCCAAGCGTTCTCCTGCTTTTCCTTCCTGACCTGTCCTCAGTGCTAGGTGAGGGGGTTTGCTGTGAGACAGAGTCTCGCCGCGTGCTGCAGGTCGACCTTGAGCTTGCCGTGCTAGTCTCGTCCTTGGAATCGTCCTCTGTCGTCTTCCTGTCTCAGCACCCCAGCACGAGCACCGCCCTACCCAGCGAGGCGTTCATTTTGTTCTGTTCTGCTTTGTGTTTTTGGTTATTTCAGACAGGGTCTTGCTTACATAGTTCTAGCTAAACATGAGCTCACTGTGTAGATCGGGCTGTCTTCCTACCCACAGTGACCTTCCTGCCTCAGTCTTCTAAATACTGAAATTGGGACCAGGGAGATGGCTCAGTAGAATAAGTGCTTCCCTGGCAAGCTCAAGGGCCTGAGTTCAATCCCCGGTTCCGCAAAAATACAAACAAACAAAAAAAACACCTGAAAGTAACAGGCATGTGCCGACACACCTGGTAAGGTGTTATTTTTTTTGAAACAGGTTTACATGCGTATGAAAAGAATATAAGGTAGAGGGTGGGATATCTCTAACTCACATCATTTGTATTTATGTTTTATGTCGCTCAGTGATCTTTTTATGTGTATTGACTATATTTTCTGTGAGCTGATTATTCTTTGGATTGTTAATTACATCTCTTAGTTTACCTTATTTTTTATTGTAATTGCTTATATTGATAGGCTGGTTGTTGGTTGTTTTTTATTTTTGCGGAACCGGGGATTGAACTCAGGCCCTTGTGCTTGCCAGGGAAGTGCTTATCTACTGAGCCATCTCCCTGGCCCGATAGGCTGGTTGTTGCCATTGCTTTATTGTTTATGATGGCCGCAGTAATTTGAAGAGAGGAGGAGACTACACGTTTCAGTAGATCATTTCCTGCAAGTTCAAGAAATGTCCCCGACACCTGCTGTGTGTGAGGCAGTGGCCCGGATGTGTGAGTCCCAAGGACCCCACTCTCTGCAGCGTGGTCTAAGGGCGGTGATAAGCAGCGGTTTCCTTGGCTGTGTTAGATGGGCCGAGGAGGTGATGTTTGAGCCTGGACTGGAGGGATAGCGGCTGGGGTGTGGTGTTCAGGTGGCCTCCCAGGAGAGCTTGCGGGGAGACCAGCCGCATTCTCCCCGCACAGAGAGGAACGCTTCATTCTTTCTCAAGTAATTATTTTGCACAGGGAAAGTCTGGAACTTTAGTTGCTGAACTACCAGAGGTACTTCCCTGTCAAACATTCCTGTGCACGCTCGGTTATGTAATTCTTCACATCTGTTGTGCACGAATAATCAGGGTATCTTTGAAGACATGCTCATGGATGTATAATGAACAAGAAAGTATTTGTTGCCAGGTACATCTCAGAGATGGGATGACGTGGGAGTCTTCTCCCTTGTGGGCTGGGTGTGATGATTGCCGATGTCCCTGCACAAAGAAATGGTAGAGATACGTGTGAAGTGGTTCCCTTCCCTCGTGTGTGTGTGTGTGTGTGTGTGTGTGTGTGTGTGTGACAGGAGAAACATGAGTTATAAATAGATCTTGCGTCCTTATGAAGTCTCTCGATTGGGAATTCTGCCTTAGTGAATGTGCTACCGGAAGATTTGAAGGAAAGCACTTCAGACCAAGCACTGAGAGGTGCTTATTAGTTGGTCAGTTAGTTGGTTAGTTAGTTATGACCCATTAATGTGAGATTCAGTTTCCATACATGTGCATTGCTGGTTGCAGCATGCAAGTTGGCGTGGCTGGAGATTGTGCAGGCAGGCAGGGCAAGGTCGGATGTGAGTTGGAGAGGAATCTGGCATGCATTCTGGGCAAGGGGACGCCTCTGGCTGGCTTGGGCACGGGTGTGCTCTCATTTCTGGCTTAAGGGGTGGTTCTGGCTGCTGTGGAGGGTGGCTGCCATCCAGGTTTAACTGGTTGCGCATTTGGCAGGTGAGGAAACTGAGGCAAACTTCTCAGTGTGTAGGTTCTTTAGGGACGCAGGGAGGTCTCGTGTCGCATGAACAGAGTTGGCCTTCTTGGTGTTTGCTAGGCCGTTAGTCTCAGCTGGCTTTAAAAGGGCTCAGGTTGGGTAGGGACAGTGTAGTCCCAATGATGCAGAGGGGCCAAAGCCAGGACAGGACCTCTGACTCACTTCACTTCTTGCATAACTCTGGGGATCCAACTGAGGACCTGCAGGTGTGACAGGTGCTCTACCCCGAGCCATAGTGAGCTTGGGATCTGAAGGCAGCTCTGTGTGACCCTTTGAATACTTGTGTATTGTTTTGTTTTATTTTATTTTATTTTATGTATGTAGTACAGGGTCTCACCATACAGATCGGACTCGTAATGATACTCCCGTTTTCAACCTCCCAAGCGCTGGAATTATAGGTGCGTGCCACCATGCCCAGTCTCAATCACAGTCTCAGCACGCTCTGGGGGTGGGGCTGGCACAGTACACCAGGGATCAAACCCAGTCCCTGTGCCTGCCTAAGCAGGTGCTTTAATCCGTGAGCTATCTGGTCGGCCCTGAACACTTGTTTTTTAAAATAAGTGCTTGGTGCCCCCTGAGTCTGTCCACACACAGTCTGCAAATCTTGAAACCAGAACTCAGGCTTCCCCAGGGGCCAGGACTGTCCCGTCTCTACCCACAAATGGGACATCCCTTTGAGAGCCTGGGTCCCCACATACACTTGTTTGGGATTTACACCATGAATTGGCAAGTCCAATTTCAGTGGCAGTTTGGCCAGTTTGTCTTTGAGCTTTGTGTCCAGTGGAATGTGGTTACTGGGAGGCTGTCTCTGTCCTGGCTTTTGTGGTTTACCATGGGGTGAAAGAAAGCCCTTTGCAGAATCTACTGGCCACCCTATTCCTCCCTGGCCCAGCCAGAAGTCGCGGAATACAGCGCCCATGGTCTCCACTTGCCCCTTACCCCGCCCACAGTTCTGCTTACTTTTATGAAGTCTGCATCTAACAATGACATCCTTTTTCAGCTTCGCCAGCTTCCACAAAGACGGGACAAGCAGGCAGTCTGTCTGGCAGCCCGAAACCTTTCTCTCCGCAAGCACCAGCACCAATCGTGACGAAAACGGACAAAATGCCCGCGACCGGGAGCATCCTGAACCTTAACCTGGGTCAGTTGGCACTGCTGGATGTATCACTTTCTTGCAGCTGTGACCATCTTTGCAAACTGTGCCGTCTGTGTTTCTGTTTGATCTGTGAACCCTGAACTCTGACCTCTCCTCTCTGGCCAGCAACTTTAGAAGGCACAGTGGAGGGAGGGGTGGTGGTGAGGAGAGTTCTGGAAGAAGGAGCAGAGCCGGGGTCTCCAGGGGTTTTTGGACATGCAAAATTGTTTTACGGCCAAGTGCCCTAGGCCAGTGTTCCCAAGCCTGTTTGTCTTTGACTCCTAACTTGGTTCTCTGATACCTGAGTGCCTGGTAGAAGCAAGCGGGTGTTAACTGCGCTCTGTGCAGAGTGCTCTAACACTATTTCCTTCTTTCTTGTCTAATTTTTTTTACTGCTGGTTTTCATCTCCTGGGATTCGAAGTTTGCACTGCGTCACCATGCTGAGCTAGTTTTTTTTTTTTTTTTTTTTGAGATAGTTTGAGGCCAGCCTGTTATGTCGCCCAGGCTAGCTTCAAACTTGCATTGATCCTCCTGCCTCAGCTTCCTTGAGATTACAGGCATGTGCCACCACACCTGGTTTAATTTACTGTTTTTTGGTTGGCTGCTTAAAAAAAAACAGTGCTAGGCTAAAGAGTTAGCAGAGATCAGCACTGGAAACGTTAAAGCCCAAGTATGAGTTTGTTATTTTCTTGAATCATTCCATTTATTGATTCAGGGTTTATTGAGCAGTGTTAGGCGCTGTGTACTATTCTGGATACAGGAGATAGAAATCTAAGGACCCGCCTGTAGGGAGCTGGAGGGGGAGGGACAGTAGTCAGGTAGATACAGGAAGATAGGTGACAGTTTACACCTCGCTGGATGCCTTCAGGGCAGAATGTGCGGGAGAGGTGGGCAGGGGGAGGACAGAGTTGTCAGCTGTGTTACCTGGAGGGGTCAAGGGAGGCCTCTTGGAGGAGCTGATACTTGGGCTAAGATTGTAGATGAGGGAAAGCAGTCATGCCAATACCAGAAGAATGTCCTGGAGGATGTAAGAGGAAGTACTGACTGGGTGCTAAAGGAATAGCAGGGCGGCTCGGCGGCTGCATCCTGGTGAGCCAGCGGCAGCAGCCGAGTAAGTGAGGTCAGAGAGCAGCCAGCCCTGCAGTCCTGGGCGGGATGGAAGGGTATGCGCAGACCTCACGTTTCCATGGGCGCTTGTTCAGAATAGACTGTATTCTTACCTGGGATAGTTTTGTCACATTGCACTCCAGCAGTGTCTTGAGACACTGTGGGTTCCTATAGCCGGTGTGTGTGGTGCTGCTGGCAGCCAGGGCCACGTCCTGCGGAGCGGAGAGCGGCGTGTGTCCTGGATGTTCTCTGTTGACCTTGACCTGTGTGCAGCTGGAGGAGAGCCGGAGTGCAGGGTGGATCGGGGTCCCCATGGGCTGAGGGCGCAAGAGGGTGTTTGAAAGCAGGATTGGGGTGCAGGTGCTGGTAGAGGCCAGGTTGTGGAATGCTGGGGACCTGAGTGTGCCTGGGGTTTGTGGCCTTGTGGTGAGGAAGTGGTATGCCTGGCTTCTGGGCCGGTGGACAGCCCGCCGCCAGCAACCTCGGAGCACAAGTTAGCGCTGCAGCAGAGGAGCTCCAGCCCCTTCCGCTGTGTCCGAGGCCTTTGCCCTTGGAGCTTCTGGAGGGATGAGGCCCTTGGGGGCTGGAAGCTGTAGACCAGGAAGAGGAAGAAAAGGGCTGATCAGAGCCACAAAGAGGCCGTGGACAAAGAGGAAGCACGCTGGCCTGGAAAGGAGGGCAGCTGGCTGTGCAGCTTGACACACGTGGTGCCCTGTGTCAGTCGTCGGTCTCCAGGTCCCGTCTGCAGTGCCACCGAGGTCTAGGGAGGAGGCTCAGCGTGCCCAGGATGGGTGGAGCTGGAGCCTTTTTCATCAGGCTCCCCTTTTCCTGCAGCCCAGAGGAGTTCGAATTTAAAGAGACTGGTGATTCCTCACTTGAACCAAAGGGACCATTTGCTGCCTTAAACAGTCATTATTCCCCAAAATGTGGTTTTTCTTTCCCACGGCCTCCTCCCACCTCTACACCCTGAAGAGAAGCGCTGCGCGCAGGCGTTCCCACAGTGACATTTCCTCTCTGCCAGTCATGCTTGGCAAGCATAGTTCCTTCTCCTTAGGACACTGTAGGTCTCGTTGGGGTGTGGCGTGTGGGAGCTTGGGCCTCTGTCTTGTGTTGTTGTAGGTGGTCATGGTAGTGGGTGGCTGAGGGACTCTGGGGCCCTGCTGTTGCATCTCCCTGGCCATTGTTCCGGTCTCCAGAGCACATGTCTTGTGTTCATCAGTGTGAAATCACTGGAGTGGAGGTGGCTTTGTGGGCTGGGATTTCAATTTCTGACAGAAAGAGGATGCAGTGCTGTGGGCAGGCAGAGCAGTCAGGCCGTGGGAGGATGTGGAGTGATTCTCCCATGATTCCGTGGGACTGCACCAGTGCTTTATGGAGCTTGGTCCTGACTGTTCTGTGATGACCCTGACCGGACAGAAATCATACAGTACTAGGAATGATGGTGGAGTTATTATTATTATTATTTTTTCAGAGTGGAAATGTTTATTGGGAGGGATTTCAGTTAGACTCTCATATCACACACATTAGAAAGAGACTGTAACTGTTTCTAAAGAGGAAGAAGGGCTGGCACAAGGCCTGAATCGTAGGGGACAGGCAGCTCCAGCTGGATGAGTGAAATATGGACTTAGGGTGGATAAGGCCACTGCTCACCCCTCTTCCGGGGAAGTGTAATGGCTGAAATACTGCTACCCTAACCCCCACCCCAAAGCTAGCAGCCCAAGGGAAGACTGGTCCTCCAGTAGAACCTGGGCTGTGGGTGGTGGCAGCAGGGGAGAAACAGTGTCTTGCTATCTCTTGCTGCTCCTACGGGTTTCTTTGCTGTTACTGACAGGATCGCTGGAGGAGCCGGGAGGGCCAGCTGCTGTGTGGCTTGGCTGGCTTCGAGTGATCTGGGTGCTGGGCGGGTGGGAGGGAGTGTGAGGGGGACATGGGCTACCACCAGGGCTTGGTGGGGCACTCCGTCCATTTCATTATTAGTTGTTTTTGGAGTAATTATTTAACAAAACAAAATTTTAGTTAAAAATACACTGGCAAAATCAAAATTATGGAGATGGAAAAATAACAGAGATTGCCTTGGATGAGGTGGAGAGTTTGATTGCAGATTTGGAGGGAATTCTCTGGGAAAAGGAATTGCCGTGTGTACTGTGTGGGATTATAGGTTATGTGTATTACAGTGGGAAGAACCGGGGGTCACAGTAGTCCCATTTTATGGAAGTGGCCGTTGAGGTGCTAAGAAGCAAAGTCTGAGCCTAGGATCGCAGGGTTTGAGTTTGAGCTTGGCCTTGGCTCGGGCTGGTCTGCTGCAGAGCCAGAGCTCATGGCTGAGCTGTCCAGCTGCAGTGTGAAAAGGCGGGGCAGGTTCGGCCTCCACACAGTGTCTCCTGTGCCCAGCCATGGGGTCAGGACTCTCTCTGGGAGTTGATAACACGCAGGGAGAAGGGCACCCTAAAGGAAGTGGCTCTGGCCACTGTTTGGAATTTAAACAAAAACAGAAACCCAGGCACTAATGAAAGCACTCATACTTTTTTTTCCCCCATTTTTTCAGTACTGGGGATTGAACTCAGGACCTTATGCTTGCCAAGTAGGTGCTTAGACCGCTGAGCTATCTCCCCAGCCCTGGATTTTTTTAAAAAATTGCTATCAGTTGCATTAAAGACTGAGCATAGGGGCCAGGGAAATAGCTCAGTAGAATAAGTGCCTGTCTGGCAAGCACAGGGTCCTGAGTTCAATCCCTGGCACCACCAAAAAAAAAAAAAAAAAAAAAAAAAAAAGACTGTGCATGTAGCTCAGTGGCACGGCACGTGCCTGGCAAGTGCGAGGTCCTGAGTTCAACTGCTAGATTCAAAGAAGAAAACTTACAGTACAGCACCAGCAACAATCAGTTGCATTAAAGAAAAGGAAACTGTATATAGGCTAAAGAAATACAACTCAGAATACAAAAACCGGCCTCTTACAGTGGCAGTTGGCTTCTTCAGGGCGGCGTGTTAGTTCACTGTGTGATGTGAACGTGTGGAGTGTGAGGGTAGAGTGTGGAGACCCGGCCCTCACCCTACCGTCTTGCTGCCTCTGGCCATTTCTCTCCTCTTTCACCCAAGAACCTGAGTCCTGCTAGGGGGTTATGGGCGCCCTTCTGAGATTTAATGGTGACCTTGGATCATAAATCTGAATGTCTTTCGAAGACAAGGTGAGAATGCCTGACTCCAATTAAACTCTTTTTTTGTTTTTCAGTAGAGTTACGGGGATTGAATGCAGGGCCTTCTGCTCGACTGTTCACTTCGTTATTTGGTATTTCGAGACAGGCCTTGCTATGTAGCCGAGGCTGGCCTTAGACCTTATGGTGATCCTCGAGCCTCAGTCTCCCGAGTGTTGAGATTCCAGGTGTGTGCCACCAGACCTGGCTGCTTGTTCTTACCTTGCAGAGCACGAACAAGCGCAGAAGTTGGCTGCTCCAGGTAGCGACTGGATGCTCTGTAGAAGATGCTGAGGGAGCCCTCTGTCCCAGAACGGTTTTACTTGTTTCCTCATTGTGGCTGACAGGCAGTCGGCCGGCCATACGTTTTGTTCCTAAGCATAGAGCAGTCGCTTAGGTATCAGGGATTTCTGCAGAGAGCTGGCTTAGATCACCCAGAGATTGTCATTGTCTTGACTTCCTTTATAGTCTGTGAGTTGGCGAGATCTCTGCTAGGCTGTGAGGGCTGGAGAAATCTGCCAGGGCTCCTGCTCCTGCTGCTGTTACCGTGAAGGAGCTGCCACATTGTCCACACAGGGTGGTTTGCTGACAGCTGTAGAACAAAAGAGAGTCTCTTTCATTTTTTTTTTTTTTTTTAAAGCTGAAAATCAAGTGCCTCAGTGTTCAGGGCATTGTCAGTGGTAGAGTACTTGCCTGGTGTGGGCAAAGCTCTGGGCTGGATTCCCAGCTTTGCAGAGGGTTAAGAGATGTATTTAGTGCGGGATCTACAGGGTCTCACTAGGTAGATTGGACCCATAGTGATCCTCCTGTGTTCAGCCTCCCAAGTGCTGGGATTATGGGTGGCATGGCACGTCAGGGATCGAACCCTGGCTGCTGTGTTCTGCCTGCGCAGGCGCTTTAGGCTGCTGAGCTATCTGGCCGGCCCTAAAGAGTTAAGAAATGAAAACTGTTTGCCTCCTCTCCCCTCACCAGTGTTACCAAGCTCAGCATTTGTTGCTCTTATTGGGCAGGTTGGCTTTCCCTCTTGATGCATAGAAATCTGCCCTGGTTTCCTCCCTTCCTCCCTCCCTCCTTCCCTCCTTCCTTCTTTTCTCTATTTTTAGGGAAGGGTCTACAGGGTGATTCTCCTATTTACAGCCTCCCAAAGTGCTGGGATTATAGGCATGTACTACCATGCCCAGTCTCAGTCCCCATCTCAGCGTGCCCCAGGGGGCGGGGCTAGCACAGCAGGGCTGGGGATCCAACCCCGGACCCTTGCACCTGCTTGCAGGTGCTTTAATCTGCTGAGCTATTTGGCCGGCCCTGGTTCTCCTTTAGCAGCTGTGTTCATTCTAATTTCATTTCAAGGTAAACTGGAACGTGCTTTGAGGCACCTTAATTTATTGACTGTAAATTATTTTCCATTTCTTTGCTGCTGCTAACAGCTGCAGCAAAGAACCCTGTAGCCCGGTGGGAGCGAATATACAGGAGAAATGCCTAGAAGGGGAGGGGAAGGTCGGGGGTCACATGCAGTGCACATGTTGAGGGATAGTGCCCAATGGCCCTCCACGGAGGTTACTCTGATTGGTGCTCCCTGCGGAAATGTAAGATTGTGCCTCTTCCTCTACCATAGTCTTTTTTTTTTTTTTTTTAAATCCCTGGCTTCTGTTTATAACCTAAGCTGTCTTCATATCAGCTGAAAAGTTCAAGATGTTGGCATATGGGTAGATTCGGAAGATATTCCGCATGTAGAAGGTCAGGGGTGGGGAGGGCCTTGATCAGCTTCCAAGAGCAGATGAGGTGATGCTGTTCTTTTCTCCCTGCAGAGGAGGAGGTCACCATGTAGCTTAACTTTGGAAATAAGCTCATTATATTTGGCTACAACCCTTAAGGTCTCTTCCTCCAGTGTGAACCCAGCCGCTGCTCACTTGGTCTTTCATTTGTGCAGGAGGAAATATAAAGCGTAGCTTATTGATTGGAGAAGCTTATTTTGTGAAGTGAGTGGTTCTCCTCCCCCTTTTTCTTTTTCCATTACTGAATACGAGGAGCCTTCTACCTACCATTGTCTTTGTGGGGCAGAACTGATGGGTTGCATGTGCGGCAGGCCTCGCAGAGATGCAGAGACCTGGCATGCAAAGCTTGGTTGCCCAGACAAGGGACGCGGGTTTGTGTGTCAGATTTTTATGAGCCCTAGTTTGGAAAGCCTTGTGCCATCACCCGGAGTCAGAGCTCTTTCCTTATTCACACGCAACATTGGCCTGACGCAGGAGGGCCTGGCCTTCTGCGGTGCTCACACCTGAGCCTTCTCCAGGGTCTCCCTCACGAGGCTGGCAGGGTTTGCTGATGCCCGAGGGCAGGTTCTTTGTGCAGCCAGGGTTAGCAGTAGTGCTGCGCGTGGCCAAGCCCAAAGACACAGCCACGGTCCTCATGTATTGTGGATGGCCTAACAGTGGGGCCTGTCTGACCTGTACAGGTAAAGTTTGTTGACCTCTGTTAACTGTGGATGTTGGGGGTAACTCCGGAATTTGTAACTTCATGGAAAGTATTTTCATGAGATGCTTCGTGTCGAAGCTTGTGCCTGAGAGTGCTGCGTTTTTCCTCTGGGATTCAGTATACTTTTTAATTTTTGAAAGTGGAATTTGAGGATGTATGTTGTCCCCTGTTCCCTTTGCTGGAACATTTGCAACTTAGCTGCTGAGTCCGGAGGTCTCACCTGTTCCTGCTTCCCCTCTGCCTGGTCTTTTGTCCTCTCTGTCCACGTTTTCCTGTTCTCTTCTTTCCCCCAGCTGTTTTAGCACTCTTACTCTGTTGCTTGTCTTGTAGGATGCTTCCAATTTTTGCACACAGGGGTTGTAGTAGGTAAATAGTTTTCTAATTTCTCCAGTAAATGTGCACAAATATTCTTCCCCTCTCGTCGGCTGCAGCCCTGTCTCTGACAGCCTCTGTGGAAAGCCTCCTGATCCGTGTGCTAGTGCACATGCATGCAAACACAGATGTGCACGTGAGTGTGTGCCCATGCACACAAACACGTGTACCCAGTACTATTAGGGTGTTAATCTGCAGATGGCACTGCTGCCTGCTTCAGAATACTTGTGAAATCTCAGGGTGGAGGGGCTCCCCGTGTGCATTGGAGAGAGAGCAGCATCTCAGGGTGCCCACCGTCCTGATCTTTGCAGGACCCCCATGCATTGTTTTGGGGTACTAGAGCAGGCAGCAGAGGCAGGGAAGGAACCTGTGAGCTCGCTCAGTGCCTGTCTCTCCAGTCTGCCCCTGCTGACTCTGCAGAGCCCTTTGCAGAGTGTGAAGGGGACCTCGGGCCAAGTCGCGGGAAGAGAGGCCCATGACTGAGCATCGTAGCTCTCCCCCGAGAAGGGCAGATCTCCTCAGGTGGCTCCCTCCAAAGCTGCTCTCTGCACAGGTGGAAGGGCCGCCTCCCTTTCTAGCTTGAAATTGGGTTGATTGAAGAAGAAAAGCGAAGCCTGTGTGACAAACAGGCAGCCAGGTCCTCCTGCCTCACTCAGGGTGTGCTCTGAGGGCTCTGCACTGCTCTCCCGGACGGAAGCCCCTAGATCTGGGAAGAGTTAAAAGCGAGCCGGGACCAGGCAGGTGTTGGTGTGTGTGCTGATACTGACGCTGAACATAGCCCTGGAGCCTTCGGCTTTGGAGGAGTCCGAATGATGCCAGGTTCAACAAACAGAACCATCTGGCTGAGACTGTCCACTTTAAATATTGGAAAAAATATTAAAAAAAAGCAGACAGTCATTCAGTAGATGATGTCAGCCTGCCACAGGTGTTTATTCAGCCATGATCTTCAAGCCTCCTGTGTTTTCGGGCAGGGGTTATTGGGGCAGATGACCGAAGATGGCCCATGGTTTCCCCCTCTGGTTCTGCGGTCGCACAGTGGCTCAGCTTTAGCCAGGAGGAAGCAAGGTGGCGGGCCCCACACGTTCATCCCCGAGTGCCTGGACTTACAGGGCTGTGCTGGTGTCTTCCAGATCGGAGCAAAGCCGAGATGGACCTGAAGGAGCTGAGCGAGGCGGTCCTGCAGCAGGCGGCCCCGGTTCCTCTCATCTCTCCCAAGCGGCAGATTCGGAGCAGGTTCCAGCTGAATCTGGACAAGACAATAGAGAGTTGCAAAGCACAGCTAGGTATGTGTCTCGGTCTGCGGGTGGCAACGTTACGATTTGTAGGGTTGTCACCCCGATGAAGTAAGGGTCGCACCCTGGCTACTCTGAGCCGCTGCTTTGACCCTGAACCACTTTTTTTTTTTTTTCCCATATGAAATTATTTCTCCTCAAGGCACAGCTTGGCAGACCTGCGAGCCAGGTGGTATTCAGGAGGGCTCTTTGAGCTCACCAGGGTTGGTTCTTTCACAAAGGCCCCCTGAAAAGTCGAGGTGCAGGTCTGCAAAGGTTTGGGTGCTAAACTTGCCTCTGTTTCCCCTCAGTGCAGGACAGTGTCTCAGGATCACCCCAAGTTTATATCAGTGTCTTTTAATGGAGCCCCATCTTGCAGGTTGCCCCCCACGCCCTGCACCTGCACCTGCACCTGCACCTGCACCTGCTCTGTACTGTCACCTCTGCCTCCTTTCCTCCTCCTCAGGCTTCCCTAAGGTTGAGCACAGGCCTCCAGGAAGTCTCCCCTGACTGCCCCGATTTGCCAGCCTCCTTTGGTGCTTCACTGCCCAGAAGAGGGTAATCCTCCCGCCCTTGCCTGGAAGTGCCTCGGGGTAGGGGCTGGTCTTACAAGGATTTGCCTTCTCCACGTTCCTGTCCTGTGCACATAGTAGATGCTGTGAGATACTTGCTGACAGCGCGAATTAAGCCAGGTGTGCATTTACAGAGCAGCGAGGTACAGCTGGACCCCAACCGAGAGCCATTCAGAGTAGTTTCCAGGGTCTCTTAGATCTTTGCGTGAGGACAGAGCTTTAGTTGGGGGCCACCTGGCTTGTTTCAAAGACAATTATTTTTCCCTTGTGTGCCCATTTAGGACATTGAGTGACATGGATGAGGTTTGACAGGTTCTTTAAATATCTTGTACTCTTGGGTCCTTCCGTGAAACTGTGAATTTCCCTTACTATTGCTGCTAAGAATTTAATATTTCTCTTTACTGAGTGCGCACTCACACACTGCACACTGAGTGTAGCGAGGGATGTGATCAGTCTCATTTTGCAGATGAAGAATCTGAGGCCCAGGGAGGTAGGTTGTTTGTTTGTAGCCACATAGGCAGTAAAAACAGGATTTCAATTTATATCCTTTTGGCTGGACACCTACGCATTTTCTATTTGTACCTGATCCTGTATCCTACTGGGAGCTGCAAATTGCACAGGTTCAGGATCCGGAAGCCATGTCACACGTGGGTGTTTGTGTTTTTTTTTTTGTGTCTGTCTCTCACTGTATAGTCCATTCTCTCTATGTGGTGCTGTGGGATTGAACCGCGGTCCCTGTGCTTTGCTAAGCTTGTTCTAAGTAGGTGCTTTAGACCACTGAGCCATCTCACCAGCCCCGGGTGTTTGTGTTTTGCTTGTACACCTGATTGGGTCCTGGTGGGGGCAGATCTGCCTAACCAGCGGCTCTCCCGGTCTCCTGTGCCTGAGCTTTGCGTGGCTGTATCTGTTTGCAGTTTTCTTTCCAGGGTGTCCGTGTAAACATGGAGACCACTCAAGGAAGACATTGTTTTAGAGGAAAGACAGTCGGAAGAGTTGCTCGGGCTTCCTCCTCCTTGTTTAAAACAGCGTAGGATCCTCCGTCCAGCCTGATGATGGAGGCATAGAGGGTCACATGGCATCGTTGTTAGATGTGCGCGTTGGCCCATGTTTCTGAGTGTGACTTTCACCTTGTCCCTTAGTGGAAGGAAGAACAAAGCAGAGACACTGTGTGGGCAGCCAGGGTAGGGCTGGGCATGTCGGGCCCCTGGAGTCTGTGTTTCTGCCTCCATAAAGGGGCCATGGTTTTTGGGCCCCTCCTGTCCCTTGCACTGCAGCAGACCCAAGTCCCATGGTGGCCAAATCTTTCGCTCTTTCTGTGGAAGCGTGCCACCGGGATTTCTACATAAAATCTCAAAGAAAAAAAAAAGATTTGGCTCTGGGCCTAAAGCAATCTATGCTGGAGAAAGTTTGAGGATGGGGAGACAGCTCAGTGGAATAAATGCTTGCCTGGCAAGTGTAAGGTTGTGAGTTCAGTCCCAGGTACTGGGGTGGGGGGGGAACCAAACAGATTTAGCTCTATGTAAAAATCTCCTGATTTGGGAATTAGGCAACAAATTCAAAGTTAAAAATAGCAAAAGTAATCAGGTGCCCTATAAGTAGACCTTTGCTTCCCTAGTGAGCAGCTGGCCTCTGCTCAAGGGCTGAGAGTTTGCTGTCTCTGGTTAAAGCTTTGGTTTGATTCCCAGCATCACGTGCTGCACCAGACCCACGCTCAAGGCAGCCCGAGACAGTCCAAAAAAACCTTCTCTGATTGAAGCTTTGTCCTGCTTCTTCATCCCTGGACAGAGGGTGAAAGACCTCGATACTTTGGGGAACCACGTGGGAGGAGCACTGGAGTGAGTCAGAAGCTCTGGTTTGGGCTTCCTTTGGGTCCTAGGGCAAGCCATGTTTGTGGGCCTCCGTCCTGCGGTCTGTAGATTGGATCAGTGTGGACAGCTGGTCTCTGCTGAGCTGCTCAGCCCTTGTGCTCTGTACCAGGCAGTCAGCAACGTCCAGAGCATTGGCCCTTTCCCTCTGCTCGAGTGTGACAGGCACTTGGTGGCTTCCACATCTCCTCTGAAGGTAGCCCAAGCCCTCTGCAGACCCAGGCTCTGGGATCAGCTCTAGACAGTGGCTGCCTTAGCTGCTCTCACCCAACCATTGTGATCAGAGTTGTAGTGTAACCCGGCATTTGGTGTGGAAAGTGTTGGCAATTTATGATCTTGTGCTTTGTTTTCTGACTCCGCCACCTGTTGGATTTTCCCTTTGAATTTAGGCATAAATGAAATCTCAGAAGATGTTTACACGGCTGTGGAGCACAGCGATTCAGAGGATTCCGAGAAGTCAGATAGCAGTGACAGCGAGTATATCAGTGATGATGAGCAGAAAACAAAGAACGAGGCGGAAGACCCCGAGGACAAAGATGGTAATGGGGTAGACAAAGAGGCATCAGGTGGCAAAAAAAAGCCCAAGCCTGCAAACCCGGTGGAGGTGAAGGAGGAGCTGAAAAGTGCTTCGCCGGCAGGCGAGAAGGCAGACCCGGGGCCGGTGAAGGACAAGGCCAGCCCTGAGCCCGAGAAGGACTTTGCAGAAAAAACGAAACTGTCACCGCACCCTGTGAAGGACAAGCTGAAAGGAAAGGATGAGATGGATTCCCCAACTGTACATTTGGGCCTGGACTCCGATTCAGAGAGCGAACTTGTCATAGATTTAGGAGAAGATCCTTCTGGGCGAGAGGGTCGAAAAAATAAGAAGGAACCCAAAGAATTGTCTCCTAAGCAGGATGGTAAGTGCTTGGAGCGTGTCTCCTGTTTCTTTACTTGGGGTAGAGGCCCAGCTTGCGCTGGTGATGTCAGAAGCAGTGGTACCCCCAGCACCCTGAGGAGGCGCCGCGTTGAGGTCCCCAGCTGACTGGGGGACAGGACTGGTGCTTACTGCAGGCTTGTCCTCCACATGCTCAGCGCCCAACATGATCAACCCCAGAAAAATAAGTCATTTAGAAAATGTTACTTGCAGGGCGGCCAAATAGCTCAGTGGATTAAAGCGCCTGCAAGCAGGTGCAGGGGCCAGGGGTTCGATCCCCAGGCCTGGCCTGCCACTGGCCCCAACCCTGGGGTGTGCTGAGACTACAGTTGAAATGGCGTGGGGGTGTGAGCCTGTAATCCCAGCCCATGGGAGGCTGTAAACAAGAGGATCACTAGGGCTGGAGAGATGGCTCAGTGGTCTAAAGCACCTACTTGAAACAAGCTTGGCAAAGCACAGGGACTGCGGTTCGATCCCCCAGCA